TCGTGGTCGTCGTGGTCGTCGTCGTTGTGGTCGTCGTCGTCGTCGGCGTCGTCGTGGTTGTCGTTGTTGTTGTTGTTGTTGTTGTTGTCGTTGTTGTCGTTGTTGTCGTTGTCGTCGTCGTCGTCGTCGTCGTCGTCGTGGTTGCTGCTGCTGCTGCTGCTGCTGCTGCTGCTGCTGTTGCTGTTGCTGTTGCTGTTGCTGTTGTTGTTGTTGTTGTTGTTGTTGTTGTTGTTGTTGTTGTTATTCTAACATGCCACGTAAGATGGAACACCTTCATTCCAAAGTTCCAGATTTGAAGTCCTGCCTGCAGGAACCACTGGTCCTTCTTTCTGATTCAATGCGTGAAGAGGCTGATCCTGTTTCGCATACTGGCAGAGAGCGGCCTTTTTTTGGTTGGCGGCACCTTTGTGCAAGCTCTGTTAGACACGCTACCCGCTGTCCGGACGTTTGTCTTGTTGTATTTGTTGTTTCAGAAGCCTCTCTGAGAGGTGATGCAGAGCCTCAACAACACAGCCACTTGCTTTCAAAACCTTGGGCTGGGTGAGCATTCGAAGCTACAATTCCTGCGCACTCGCATGTGGACTCTTGTCTTCAAGCACTCACAGACGGACCCTGAGGTGCTACCTACTCGGTACCGAACTTACATAGGGTGGTTGCTGCGTGAAAGATTACAGAAATTATGCGCCCTGTGGGGGCATGGAAGGTTTCAGCAGCTCGAAAAGTTCCTGACATCTGGGGGGGGACCTTACTTCTGTGGCGACAGGACAGCTGCACGTGCGAGAGCTTTGGGTGGTGCTTGATCTTAAGGCTAGGGCGTTTAAATCTCATTTGACAGGATGACAACCTGCGATCTGAGCATGTTACTAGACAGCAGTTACATTTTGCCAGGCATATGATCTGCACACTGGCATTCGGCTTTCTTTTTTGGAAGATCGATGCCATGCTTTCTTGTTGGAGAGGGGAGCCTTTGTAGCGCTCAGGTATGTTTACGCTTCCGGCATTCTCGACGGCACTTTTGCAGCTGGAATAAATCCAAGTGTCATGGACGATTGCCCAGGCTGGAGTCTTGTAACTTGACATGTGCCTCCTAGACATGCAAACGCCCGGCGCATGAAGTTTTCAGGCTTGAAAGAATTAGTGGCACGGGTGGGCGGTCACCCGCGCGTCCTCGCGCCGCGCTTTTAGCTTTCGTTCTTGAGGTTGACTGGGATTTGAGAGCGTCATTTCCAATTTGCTGCTACCCTGCAGAGCTTGGCTGGCAACACTCCTAGAGCACGTTATACAGCGGTCGCAGCCATGGTGGTTGATCAGTCGGTGCTGTCGCAGCACAAATTTGCATTGACAGGCCCGATCCGGTGGTTGTCCATGCTTGCGCAGCAGCGTTCTTGTGTGATGCCTCGTGGTCTGAATCCTTAGCGTTTCGTTGCGAGGCGCCCTCCTCCTTGGTGTCACGGTACTCATAGACGCTGCACGGAAGTTTCGCTCCAGGAACAGCGTTGAACATTTCAGAGCATCTCCACAAATAGAAAGGCAGTAAGCAGCCAAGAGGAACAGTACTTATGAGCTTCCATCCTGCCAGCGGGGCTGAGCATGGAGTGGTGGCAAACGTTCTTGTCCGCCTGAGCGATTCGAACTCAGGCGCAGAAACAGCAAGGGAGTCTTGCAAGAGCGTTCTCCCAATAGATTTGAACCATGATCCAATTGTTGGCAGCTGCATTTGAGACTTGGCGCACCCACTGTGACAGCTTGTTGTTGTGTGCAAATTGGCAGGAGAAAGTCAGGCGAGGCGATTCCAACTCTACCAGGCTTGGTCTGCGGCGTGCTCTCGAGCAACGGGATGCAACGCAGGGAAGAGAACTGACAGTGCCATGCACGTCCATGCACCCACGGGCAGGTAATCGGCACGGTTCTGTTTCATTCTGCAATTCAGAACTTCCCTGAGGTGGATGGCCGATTGTGGGTCATTACTTTACGCTCGCCCGAGATTTGGCAAGTTCATCCACACTTTTCTGCGCTGCCTCTGTGAGTTTTTGTCTGTGTGTGTCTTGCTGAGATTAGTCCAGAGGATACTGCAAAGAGAACTTGAACCTCGCCATGGGTCGATGGGCCGTGGATGTGGCGCTAAATCAAGGCATGTGTTGTGCAACTTCTCATTTTGTTTTTCAGAGGAGCAGTGTCCACAGGCATGAAGACCTTTGCAGCTTCTCTCATGGGCTACGACTTCGTACCTTGTCGTGGGAACTCTTCGTGGAACATGCCATGACGCATCTACATGATTTCATGTTCCATCTTAAGGTATGGGTTGCCGATCCAGACATGGCAGAGGAGATCATGCAAGGCGACCCACACAGGCGTGTATCTTGCTGTTCTTGTTGGGCTTGATTGGTAAACAGTTAGAAGTGGCGACTAGGTACACAAAGGACTTCTCGAAGCTTCCCCTTGGTGGTGACCTCCTTCATGTGGCCTTCGGGGCGGCACGGTTGCGAGGGGCGGGGCATGCTCAAAGTGCCAATTCTGTGATATCCGTAAAGAAATACAGCACGCTACAGAATGACTGGGTTGTCGACTTGAGATAGCTGCGGCACAAGCAGACTCTTCCCTGCTTCGTTCTGACAATGCTAGTCGAAGGTGTGGTTGAAGTTGAAGGCGAGCCTTGGTGTTGTGCAGATTTGTCCAAGGACGGTCTTTTCTTTGCCCCAACGGATGATGAAACGTGGCAAATTCCTCATCGAATCCTGAAGACACCTTTCTCAGTGCGAGGCTGGTCTGGCAACGTGTGAAGTTGGCTCATGGAGTAGGCAACGGACAACCTTCATTCTCGCACCAAGGCATACGTACCATCATGCCAATGATGCGCGAGCAAGCAGACATGCTCATTGCAGCCCTGAAGCGTGATGTTGGCCATGGTGGGAGCACTTACATCGATGTCGCATGGCTGTAAGATGCGCAGCTCAGGGGTACAGACAGGTTGGAAACTTGTTACTTTGTTTTCTTGGCTAGGGGCACCTTCAGCGCTGTCTGTTCCAGAGTTCCAGACACCATGAGACGGAAGCGAGGCCTGGGTGACAAAGATGGCCTTCGAGACAATTGCAGTTTGTGGGCTCGGTACGTGCTTTGGCTTTTCTTTCCGTGGTTCCTGGCGAGGCAGTTTTGTCCTTTTGCTTGTAGTGAAATGCATTGAAAGGTCTTTTGGCTGCTTCGAAGATGACCAAACACATCCTTTCATCAACTCGCTCAATGAGGTGGCACATCATCTCTGTTTTTTTTTTTGTGTGTGAATGTGCCTTGCCAACCTCGCTTTGCATATGCTCTAGTTGAGCTGCTGTGGCAGCCAGCAGCCGGTTTCGGGAGCAGGGTACAGCCCCTCCCAAATTTGATTGGTTGGGCTTCTGCAACAATCTGTCACCTACACATCAGCCAAATTATTGCATGCCTTTGCCCGTTGCAGAAGGTGATTGGCTCCATTGATCCGTTGGGTCAGTGTCCGCCCATGCTGAGGCAAGCAGGGCTGCATCCCTAGCTTCTTGTGAGCGGTGCGCATGCACCATGCAGATTCTCTGTTGTTACTGCTAGAACCTGAGACTCTGACTTTGATTGAGGAGTCGCTTCACAGGAAAGCACAGCTTTTGAACGCAGGAACCCAGAGTAGAGGCCATCAGCAATCAAATCATCATCCCAAACAGCCTGCACTGCAAATTAAAGTGGAAGGCATTCTTTGTGGACCCGCATAGGTGTGCAATGTAAGTCTGCTCTTCATGATACCAGCCAACCTAGATGAGCTTCTGTCAATAAAAGCGTTATGAAGGGACCCTTCATAGCGGACATAGGGGTCCCTTTTGTAGTTTAGTATGGTCCCAAACATCTACCCTAATAAGGAGCCCATGTCCAGCAATTATCTGGGAAATTTCGAATGTAGCTCAGATGGATGACTTTGGCGATTGTGCTTTGCAGAAGGCATTCAGAGTCTTAGACAGTCCATGCAGCTCTCAACACAGGGTGATGCTGCAAATGTTGATCACCGTGATGGGATATTTCCTGTTGTTCTGTGTGGAAGGCCCATTCTCTGCCGTCAGATGATGAAGAAGTTCATCAGCTCAAGCAAGAGCCGCCTGCCTGGTTCGAGTTTCCGCGCTTACCCCAAGTCAGAGAATGTTTCGACAGGTGTCCGTGACGTGTGCTGCGACGTGATTCGCAAACGTCGCGCAGCTGGGGCTGCTGACGGTCGGAAGGACCAACTTTAAGGATCTGAAACGCAAAGTGCTCTTCCTCTTTCTATTAGGATCTTCTGGATATGATGCTGAACGATGTGGATGCGAAGACCGGACGCTGCATGAGCCTTTTCAGCAAGAGAATAGACAAAGCTGGAGGCAGCTGCCTTGCTTCGAAAGTTGCCCGCAGAGGACGTGCTGATGGTAAGGACCGAAGACATGATCGTTGACAACGTGCTCACTTTCCTGACTCTTGGGTTGATTTGAGGCAGTGTCTATGCTGTTGTGGCTGTCCAACCACCTGCATCACTTGAGGTTTGCTGGTCAAGACTCAACTGCCGCGGCTATGGCTTCTTGCCTGTGCTTCCTGCCGCTTGCCTTTGTACATGACACAAAGGTTTGTAAAGGCTTGATTGCGAGCTCTGGGCTTGCAAGGTGCTCCTACCCTGACTGCAAGGACGGGAGAATTGCCTTCCATTGCAAGGGACTGGATTGTGAGCAGACTTCTTTGAGGATCGGCTGATCCAAGAGATCGACGCGGTGGTTGGCAAGGGCCAGCTTGAGTGGGATCACTTGGGACGATTGCAGCCTTTCAGCTCAAATTATTTGCACAACTTTTTTTCTGAGAGCTGAGAAATTCAATGGTAGGCTGAAGGCTACAGCTGAGAGGGGAAAGCACTTTTTGGGGGTTCCAGGCCCGGCCGCGTCAGCAGATCTCTGGAACATGGCTTAGATACATCTCGCTGCTGACGCGAGCAATCAGCAATGTAACCTGATGCAACACTTCAAATTGAGCAGCGCAGTTCAAACGGTTCAACGACATTTTGAAGGGCTCCTGCCTAGCCTTGTTTATCGTGAAGACAGGCTGTAGTCCATGAACTTCCACATTCATGCAAAACCCTGCAGATGGGGGATCTCTAGAAAAAATGGCATCATCCGAGGTATTTGGATTGGTGCCTGAAGGAAACGCTGCGACTGGCTCCCCCGGCCATCGGCATCATGCGGAGCTCCACCCAAGAGCAGATGCTGGGAGGAAGGTGGCGGATGCCCTCGCAGATGCCCGTGATTATCAACATCATGGCATTGCACTACAGCACCTTGGATTTGAGCCGACGTCAACGGGGCTGAGCAGACCTGACATGTCACAACACGCAGATTCAACTGCAGGCAAGGAGCTCTGGGGAGAAGATGCTGCACAATTCCGACCCGAACGTTGGGAGTGCCCTGGACAATAAACGTTGCTAGGCACTGCTCGGATCTGCCGTTGTGCTGGTGGCTCAGGCAGGGCCAGCCGCACAAATTTGCTTACGTCCCGTTTGCCACCGGGCCACGTTGCTTCGCTATCATAGGAAGGCCACCTCAACACCTCAAGCCAGTCTTTGCAGACCGAGGCCAGTGTATTGGCAGAGAGTTCACCTTGGTTGAGCAGAAGGTCACGATGGCCGCGCTTCTGCACTGAGACGGCAGATTTGCAGCCGGCCTAGAAATGCCACAAGCGGTCGAGGTGAAGTTCTTTCAGCACTTTGACCTTCGTCCCGCCGATGCCATGCAGGTTCTTGTAGATTGCAAACGGCAGATTATCTGAGTGGCTTTGAGTGCATGTCGCCGGCAGCCGGCAGCAGGTAGCGGAGGGCTACGTGCAGTTGGAGCACAAGGATGCCAAGTACCCTCCTTTCCTTACGGTGGATACGTGTCCTGTCAAGAAGTCGGATGCACGGAGTCAAACATGTAATCGTGCACATGTAATGACCAACAGAACAGGGTTAGTCATGCCCGTCTTCCTGCAGAGTGTTTTTTTGGTGATAATTTGTAAATCGAAATCCTGTCTTGCATGGCATTGAACTAGTGACGTGTGGGGTCGGCAAGAGCGGGGGATGGCAGGCGCAACTGCTAACACTTGTTTGTTGCAGGAGCATTTCCATCAGATTGCCGCAGAACATGGTGTCTCAAACAAGCCTTTTTGCAGAGCCTGGAAGACCTTGGAGCCAGGATAAGCAAAGCCATCCCTCTACGCAGCAGAAGCTTTCTCAACGAGGTCGCAGTTCAGACGCGTGAGCTGGCCACGAGGCTTTTTCTGCTGTGTTCCAGCCGGCCACCGGCCACCGGACACCGGACACCGGACAGCGCGATTGTCGTAATCGTCGTCATCGTGTCGTCATGTTGTGGTCGTCATAGGCGGCGTAACGCAACAACCCCTCGTGTATTCCCGAGCACCTAAACCATAATATCGTTCATGCTCGACTGCATCCGATGACCAGGGCATCCATGCCCAAACCATTTTTCCGCTCTTTTTTGAAAGCATCTGATGACCAGAGCATCCATGCCAAAACCACAACAATGTTCGTGTCTGACTGCATCCGATGAACAGAGCATCCATGCCCAAACCATAAGCATGTTCGTGTCTGACTGCATCCGATGACCAGAGCATCCATGCCAAAACCACAACAATGTTCGTGTCTGACTGCATCCGATGACCAGAGCATCCATGCCCAAACCATAAGCATGTTCATGTTCGGCTGCATCCGATGACCAGAGCATCCATGCCCAAACCATAAGCATGTTCATGTTCGGCTGCATCCGATGAGACGAGCACCCATGCCCAAACCATAATGTTCATGTTCGGCTGCATCCGATTAGAAGAGCATCTTTCCCAAAATCACAACAACGTTCATGTTTGACTGCACCCGATGACCAGAGCATCCATCTGGCATCCATGCCCGAACCCTAAGAATGTTCATGTTCGACTTCATCCGATGACCAGAGCATCCATGCCAAAACCACAACAATGTTCATGTTGGACTGCATCCGATGACCAGAGCATCCATGCCCAAACCATAGTAATGTTCATGTTCGATGACCAGTGCACACGCGCCCAAGCCACAATATTCGTAGTTGGAGAAGTCGTTGTCGTCGTTTTCATAGTCCTTCTCGTAGTTGTGGTAGTCGTGTCGCCGAACCGAAGCTCTGCCGCGCCGGCCACCGGCCACCGGCCACCCCACCCTCCACCAGCCACAGGCCATCGGCCACCGGACACCGGACACCGGACCCGGCCACGGCCACCGTCCACCGCCGCCGGCCGCCGGCCACTGGCCACCGGCCACCCCACCCTCCACCAGACACCGGAATAAGTCTATCCCCGAGGTCGCGCATCAATTGGTAGCTTCCACCTTGGCCGCTGGTGGCTGGGAAACAGAAGTGCATGAAAATGAGAGCTCTTGTGGAGAATCGTTCGGTGGAGTTCGACGCGAAAGATTCAAAGAGGCCCCGTGAAGTCTGTCGTGAAGAACGTTTAATATTTTCTCAAGATTACTTTTCCTCATTATAAAATTCCACGCATATTCCACGGCAAACTCCACGGCTCCACAGGCACGCGCAACAACGCCGAAAATCAAATTCCACGCTCAAAATTGAATTGCAGATGTGTCGAACAATGGTTGTAGCGTGATGACGGTGGCGATGGATGCAAAGCCTGCGAGCATGCTTGGACCATCCCTTGCAAGCATTTCTTCAAGTTCCGCAATCAAAATGTTTCGTCAGCATTACGCGCACTTCAACTATAACTATATATAGCGTGCAGAACTTGTCTCACAGATGCCCTGAGTACTGCGTTTGGGCAAGGTTTCTGTGGGAGTCTGCTGGGAACCATTCACAAGCATGCAGTTGACCTCAATGCACTTCTGGGGATTGATTCTGCAATGTCCAAAACGCAGACAAAAATCAGCACCAACTTCACTACGACACACTGGTGTGGTGTGGTGTGGTGCAGACACGGTGTTAGCCATGTGCTCGACAATTCGAGCCTACAAGCTAAAGCAGTGCGAAGCAATGCGGTGAGGCAAGTCAAGAAGGATGGCGCGTTCTTGGGATTGTTCCGAGCCTTCCAGCTGCTGGAGAGAGACAGGCATGAAGAGTGCTAGATAGTGCCAGCTGTTACAAGGCAGCTTGCATTGCACTTAGCTTCAGACCTGGGCAATTGTGGAGGCCTCGCATTTTGCATCAGGTCAAGGTTAGATGAAATATTCCTCTTCAAATGCCCCCTCTGTGGTGCAAGTTTTGCCGGATTGGTGGAACTGCAAGTACAGAGAGGTTGGTCTCGAGCCGTTTTAATTCAACGTAGCTCAAGCGCCAGTGTGGGTTTGAGGTGACTGCTCTTTGAAGCGGTAGCTGCCCTTGAAGGCCACACATAAGTCACAAGAGCTTACCAGGCCGTTGCAGGAGATTAGTCTCATCCTAGAATGCTGAGCGTACAGTGCTCAGAAGAGGCCGAAACATGTGCAAGGGCTAAGTGTTATGCTGATGCGGGGCATGCTGATGCGCTCCCCGGGCTGCCATGTGCTGTCGAGACAGACGCTCAGTATTGATGGCATGTGCAGGCATCTGGTCAGACATTGTCGAGTAGAAAGCTCGTTGCCAGGTGAAGGAATGGAATGCTGCTCACACCTGAGAGGCCTCAAATGCATCAGCTCAACACCCAACTCAAAACACGTAGAAGACCTGGGCAGCTTTAGTTGTTTGTAAGACAGTCTCACCATGTCTCACCTAGTGCAACTCTACCTCTGGCAGCCTGGTTGGAGGGCAGTGCGCCAATCGATTAAAAAAAGGGCTGCTGGATGCACGGCATCCGCGGCATGGCAATGTTGCAAGAAAAGCAGGCTCGACTTCTGCGTCGGAACCCCCCGAGAGGCAATATGTTACGTGCTATTTCCAGATCTGCAGGAGATGATTGATGCCCTGGAGCAGAAAAACCGTGATGAAATGGGGAAAAAGGCCATACTTCACTCGCTTCATGTTGCAATTGCCCTCATGGGACCACACAGCAAGGCCGAGCACGTGGAAGTTTCCTCACATCAACTTCACATCAACTAGCCATATTGTATTACCACTGCTACCAGTAGCAGCTACCACTGCAGAAGGATTACACCATCGCTTGTCCCCCGGCAGTTAGCATGCTATGTATCCTGAAGCTGCGCAGGCCTTCTGCGATCAGGCAGGATGACAGGAATATTGCGAGCGCAAACACTTTGCGGCAAGCAACTTGTGTGCGGAGTAGAGTTTCACTGCAGCACCCGGCAATGATGCAAACAATCCTGCAAACAGACATGCCTGCTCTTGAGTTGCTATCTGTCAGGAGATGAAGCACACAAAGACAGCTTTGAACGAGAGGGAGGACGTTACATGGCCAAGCCTGCCGTTCAGTGCTGGTGGTTTGTGCGAATTCTCGGTGTGGGGAGGATGAAGCAAAGAGGAAGAAAGCTGCCTTGGAGCTCACATCCTCTCAGGCTGTCCGCGCGCTTAGGCCTAGGACATAGCACTGGTCTCCGTGCCTGCAGCCACCCTTGTGCATCACTTGATCGTGACATAGCAAGGTAGCAAGGGAAAGAGTGCGGGGTGGGAAAGTATCTGGGCGCAAGTCTGAAGAGCTGCTAGAGTTATATATATATATATACATAATGCGGCGTCGCAAAGCCATAGAAAATAGAGTATGGGCGCTTGACTGCACTGTCAATGCAACGCTCAGCAGGCTACAATTGAGAGAGAACGGTGTTTGGAACATTCACAGAAAGTTAGGCAGTTTTGTCCTCCGCACATGCACGCTTTGTTCACAGGTTGCCCAGCTTCGACAGGAACTTGCAACGTTAGCGGATGAGCCGCACGCCACAGCACGGAGATTGGGTTCTTTTGTCGGGGGATGATAACTGATTCCTATCTTGCACACTGGCAACTTAGCAGGGACATGCTGCACTTGCATTGGTCTGTTCCGTACTGGGAAGCAAGTATGGATGACATAGGGTTTCTTGGCAAGGCTGAGCCAGATTGCGGCCAGCGACCAAGAGCTGACCAAGATGCGGGAGGCCTTCTGAATACAGCGGGCCATCTTATGGCATGCCCAGATTCGCAGTGTATGAGACTGGTGTTCTCATCGACCCTTGCATTTCGCGTTGCCCCAACTCTCGGGCAGGCTGAGCACCAGGAGCACGTGAAAGTTGCTCTGCAGCAATGTTGGACCGTGCATCCCTGAATCGCTGCAAGTTGGACTCCCTAAGGTTTGGAGTTTCACAGACTAGGCGAATCCTTGTAAACCGGTCAAAGAGACTTCATTTGATCAAGTCTTGCATCAGTTCTGCAGATACAGAGCAGCATGGGGACTGGTGCGAAACTATTCTGCTAACCCTTTGGCCCGCATCCTGACATACAGGCTCCTCTTTTGTATCTGGTCCAAAGAGGCGAGGGTAGGCTGCGGGTTGCGGTTCTTTGTTGTTGCGGTGCATTGGATCTGAGGCTTACAAAGACCTGGAGCTCGGCTTGGCCGGAGTTCAGGCAGCGATCAAGGTGAGCGCTGCTGCTGCTCCTCCTCCTGCATGCACGGTCTGACAGAACATACCAGAACATGAGACATACTGCAACTGGCAGGCCTTGCGGGACTATTACTCTGCGGACCGCCAGCCAGTGAAGGTCGACATGGCTGCCTGGCGCCCGGCGCTTGCAGATTGATTTGCCTCTAAATGCAAAGGGGGGAAAGCTGCTCGGCTGAGAAGCTCTTTGACTCTTTGAGCTGTCTTCTTCCGCCTGGTGACAAGCGACTGAGGCATCCATGGCTCTTGCGGCGGAAGGCCAGCCACCGCGGCTGACCGAGGCGCCACATGATGTTCCAGTAGGATTGCAGGCTGAGCGTCATTTCGCGAGAGCTTGTCTTATGCAGAAGCAGGTGGAGGCGTCCGCAGCAGGTGCCAGAGCCTTAGCGCAAGCCAAACAGCTGCCTCATGGTTCTACATGTCTTCTTATGCTTCATGCCATGTGGAGCGGACTTTGGAAGACGGAAGTAGCTACGTGTTAGGGATAGCAGCTCCAGCTCTAGTTGGCCCAGGCAAAGGTGTCGAGCCATGCAAAGAGGATAACAGTTTTTCTCAGATATTGGCTGCTGGAGCTTGAGGCCGGCGTGATTGGCTTGCTGGAGGCCTGCAAGGACCTTGCGAACTCTTTGCGCTTCCCAAGCGATGCAGGTTGTCGAGTCCAACTTCGCCCGCAACATGGCCGACCTGCAGTCACAGGACATGTCTGATCTCCAGAACAGGCCCGTCTGGAACGCACTGACCAGCTTTTGCCGCAGGACCGCAATGCGCAGGAGAACTACGAACAGATGATCCACCAAAGCCAGGTGCAGCGCACGTAAGTCTTGAAACATCCAGCCATCACCACTTCACCAGTTTCAATAATTATTGACTGTTGTCATGCACCTTCCGCGGTAGAGCTCACGTGATTGATTGTAAATTTGATGACCATAGCGCTGGTTTGACTTGCATTTCTTGCTCCACATCCTAACTTCTGGCATCTACTAGCGACACACCCATTGACGCCAGAAAAGTGCACTGTAGAGTGGCTGTGCAAGAATGTGGAAAGTGCATGAACGGGAATGGCTTCGCATAAAGCGAAATGAGCGGCGGAAGGTTGGGCGTTTTTTTATTTATGTCAAAAAGCAGAGGACCTCATGGCATGATAGGCTGCACAGACGGTGTTGGAGAGCATCTTGAGTCACAATTTCACCGCCAGAGCGGCGGTTCTTGGGCACGAAACTTCCTCGAATTTGGGGAAGTTCTTGAATCTATCAAGAAAAAAGAGGTTTTTCGTCTCTTGGGGCCAGATTCACGCCGTCAACGCAAGCTGATAACAAGATGGCAGTTGCACTATTCCCACAAGGTGGCATGCCTTGTTTGGGGCGGACCAGGCTCAAGGAGCTGCCCTTGATTGCGGCTCATCCGTAGAAACTAATCAGCAAAAAACAAGTTGTGCACAAGACAACATTAGACTCGCGTGCAGTAATAGAAATCGTGTAGCTGCATCTGAAGGTGCTCAAGGCACAGAAAGATGCCGATGTGAAGCACAAGACGACGGAGGCAGAAATCAAGCTAACCCTTCTTTTTCGGGGTTGGCTTGGTTTGGGCTTGCACTGTTTGGGTGCACGGGACCATCCACGCTGCAGGCCACCAACCTGGAGCGCAGCGTGACTGAATTGCGGCAGGAAGCCGAGGAGCTCGTGCTACTGAAAGCTGCTATGGATGCTTTTCAATCATGATGCCTGAAGAGCCCTGTGGCTTCCGAGGTCAGACTCTGCTTCAGCTCAGCAGCAGTTTGAAGCAGTTACGGAGTGCGCTAGATGAAAAGCCTAAGTTGGAGAGGTTCAGGCAGCTCAGCTTGCTTCAGGTACTTGGCCAAACTGAAGGATGAGTGCACTGCCAAGGCTTGCTAGAGTCATCAGAGAACTATCTGGGAAAGCAGAGCACGTCCTACCAGATAGGTTGAGACTCGAGAGGAACGCATTGCTCGGCGGGGCAAGGAGATGGAAGGCGGGCTTTGTTGCTGTTTAGCCATCAAAAAATGCGCGTTCTGTCACAAAGGTCTGCAAGAAGCGCTCTCCATCTTGGAGTCGGCGCAGTAGTTGCTGTGAAGTCAATCCAGGGGTGAGCGCTATGGAATGTCAGACATTTAGCTTCTCAAGGATCTTGTAGCGGATCCTGGCGATACTTGCTATCCCGCGCCCCCACTGGCCAGAAACTCGAGTTTCACCCAGCGTCCCGGCCGGTTCTTCGGGTTAGCTGGCAGCATTGCGTGAGACGCAGCAAAGATGGCTGTTTCCAGCTGCGTCACTGTTGAGAATGGCATGGCGCGCTTGACCCTGCGATGTTGGATGCAGTGTGTCAATCATTCTGCATGACTGTCGCTCGATGTCTGGTGCTGGGTGCATGCGAGAATTTGAAGTCATCAGCAAACCGCCTAGTTTGCATGTAGAGTCCTTAGCAAGGATGTAGCATCTAGCACGAGTGACGTGGTCACGTCCGTTCGCTGCTGGTTCCTAGTGAGCTCAGCCTCATTCTTCAACTGAGAGAAGCACTTTCCATGCCATGCCCTGGCAGCGCAGCAAACCGAGTGCTGAAAAATCCGGCAACGGCCAAAAACTCAGCCCCGGTTGGGACGTGCCAGCTACTGAAAGTAATTGTGAGAAGTCTGAGGTTGTCAGCCACATGTCAACTCAGCTGGATAGATGAGGGGTGGGCACAACTAAAACATTAAAACTACTCGCGACCCCACTTCGGAGGCTAACAGTGGGGAGCGGTCCTTGGTGTTTTCTGTGGCGGCACCACCGCAGTTCCAGTCATCCTTGCAACATGTACAATCAGGTGTTTGCAGATCTTGAACTGACTGGGAAACGCCGGTCTTCACCTAGCCTTCAGAAGATTCCTGACACCTTGCATTGCAACGCGCTACGCATCAAGCCTTCAAGTGATCAGGCTAATATCCGTGTGTGTCGCCTGGGTTGTTATCAGCTGTGCCCGCTGCAGCTAGTTTTCTTTAAGTTAAACATGTCATGCATGGCTGCATGCTTTCCCAGGTTGGGACAAAAAGTGGGAAGGGCAAGAATGGAAGGTGGGTGCTCCACTAGACCTTTTGATACATGCTTGCCAGACTTGAGGGCGTCAGGTGAATGAACCTATTGCAGCACCCATGCCATCTTTCTGCATCAAGCAGCTCTCCTTTGCCAGGCAAGAACATGGATGAGCAAAGAGATCAAAGAGGTGCGCGTCTTGGGACCGCAAGCTAGCTTGGCTGGCCATTTTTCCTGCCTAGCCCATCTTGCTATTACGGACGCAACTGGCTTTGTTGGCTGAGAACAGTTTTAGAGATCTGCCAGCTCTCCGCATGCTGTGACCTTGGAGGCGAAGTCACGAGTGGAATGCTACTCGGCTCTATGACTCTGGGAGACATCGCGTTGTACTGAATCTTGACTTTCCGTGCAAGGTTCTGAGGACAAAGACTCCACAGCACAAGAGGCTTTTGCGAACGTGATGCTTTCTGAAAGTTCTTGACTGGCAAAGCATGGCCTTCATCGCCTTTCACGTGGTAGGAAACTGAGGGGGGGCTGTTCCACAGCCCCAAGCCTGACGCGTGCTGAAAGCGAGCAAGTCGGGTAACAAATTAGATGTCGGATGCATGCGGAGATTTTGGACAGCGGCTGGAACGTCCACAGTTCCTACTCAGTTGGAGCACCCGATTGCCTGGATGGCCTAAGTAGATGTGCAGAGGCAGGACAGTGCTTGGCCTCCAGTGCGGAGCAGGCATGGCCTAGCCGTGAGAACGGGAAAAGCGCGGCCCCTGGAATTGAGGTCCTTTGGAGTCCAGAAACTTTCACAGATATATAGCATAATACTATTGCATGTTCTTCAATATTGTATGTTGGGTTGATTGATGTTGATTGTAGGAGGGCGAACCCCAAACGTGTCAACTGGTTAGTATTATCTGGTACCACCAAGACGACCGTAAGAACATGAATTGCAGAAACAGGTCTCTCCCTCCCTCTCTCTCTCTCTCTCTCTCTCTTCTTCTCGGCTTTCTGCCCGCTGTCTCTGTCTCTCTGACTCCCTCTCTTTCTTTCTCACACTGACGCTTGACACCGGCTTCTACTGAAGGTCCTCTTTTTCAATTTGGCACAGATGGTTTAGGATAAAGGCAAGCACGTGAGAAGTGAGGTGAGCGTGTCAATTTGACAGCTGAGTAGGTTTTGCTTGATGTTCCTCTCAATCCATTGCCGGCCTGTGCTTCTTCAATTTGTATCATTCTCTATATCAAGTTGATCCTTCACTAACAGGTCTCACTGCAGAGACGGATCCCTTGCCATGCGACGACTCGTCAGCCTATCCTGTGGATTCAACCCAAGCTTTCAGCTTCTGTTCGAGTAAACTGCTCTCCAGAGTCGAGAAAGAGGATTCTCCAATTCTGACCTTTAGTCATGCCAGGTGCAAGGCTGCTGCGCCAGGCTTGAGATGTTTGCCTGTCTTCGAAACGAATGAACGCAGTTGTGATGACTGCTGCATGTGCTGCATGTCTTTCTCGGAGCCTGCTTTCATAAGACCGGCCAGTTGAGCTGATGCCCAACATGGTGCAGTCTGTGCAGTCGCTGCCCACGCTGCTGGTTGCAACTGGGAAATTTTGCGGGTCAAACTTTGCTGGCGAGCAGATACGTAGAAGTCATGACTTGGAAGTGTGATTTGCATGGTTCCTAGAACTTTCTACAATATTACCATCTGGGCGGATCGGGCGGCTTTCTTATGAGTTTAGGTCGGAACTTGAGCTTGGCATCTGTCTGGGTACGTTCTATATGATGCTTCTATGCCGATAAGCGCTGTGCTTAGTCCTGCTGTTGCGTGTCTTGGCTCAGACCACCAGCTTTGAATGGTTTCCTCTTGGTCGACTCTTGACCTGCAATGCCGCTCGCGCTGGAGGGTACATCACAGGCCCGAGTGAATCCCGGTGAATGGCAAACTGCTCATAGTCCACCTTGGGTTGAGCTTAGGGGTCTCTCCCACTTTCTGACCAAGCCTTCTACTGTCGAAGAATGCAATAGATGTCGACCGCCGCCTGCAGGAGACAATCAATGCGATTTCCATTGCCCTGAGTGTTGGCATTGTGGTAATACCACTAGCTTCAGCTGCTGCTGCCACGACGCTTAGCTTGCAAGGCTTTCTAGTCTATGACTCCTTCTCGCCTCAGCCAACCAAGCCGCAGGGCAGCTTGTCATGGTTGGAGGAGTGATCAGCCAGTCCCTACGCGCCAGCATTGATACTTTTCAAACAGCGGATAGACACGTGCGCTGAGCCTGAATAGCAGGTTTATTGAATTTTCTCAGGATGTCGCAGCGGCTGCAGAGAGGCAAGAATGACGTTGAGGCCGAGTTTAGACATGGAAGGAACCCTTAAGCCCATCATCCAGTCCAGCAATTGTTCCGATCGAACTGGAATCAACTCATTTGTTCAATCCCGTGTCATTTACTCGAGCTTGTCTGCCTGTAGAGTTCTAGATGCAACGCGGCAAGCTGCTTTTTTGAGCTATTGCCAGGTGGATTCCTCCAATGGCGGCATGGAAGCAAAGAGATTTGTATTTTGGATCACCCACCAACACGTCCTTCAACATTGTTTGAACCCAAAGGGTGTCCCGCGAAGCATAAGATTCACAGCTGACTGCTCGTACTATACTTAAGCGCATGGAATCAAGGTGGGCCAGCTGCGTGGGTGGTGTCTTTGCTCATTTGCAGTCGCTTCGACCGAAAAGCTTCCACCAGCAAGTCCTAAAGTGGCTGCTAGAAGTGGAATGAGAAAGTTCTGCGCATCACTTCACCCTCTGACTCTCAGGCTACCTACTCCTCATACCAGCGCTGTGCATGACTCTCTTCAACATGATCATTGGAGCTGTGGACGCACTTGTCGCAGCCTTACGTGGCGTCAGTCGTGCTGTTGCTCTCGAACTCCTCACAACGGTGCTGCTTACAGTATTTTTGACATCGGAAAACCTTCGATTCGTACCATCCGAAAACCTCCGATTCGTACCATTGACAGTATTTGAGGCTCTCTAACTACAGTCTCTTGTTGATCCCTAATTCCGCTTTGCTGAATTCCCTGAATCATGTGATTTACGACCGTTCACAGCTATCCGTTTTTGATCCTTGATTTTCACCTTTGATTCCCGAGTTTGATTCGTTGGTCCTTGTTTAGTTTTCAGTATATCTCAGGACTAGTTAGTATCAGTGCCTTTTTTTGGTGATGCTGCGCATGATGAGCCTTACTACTACAAAAATGTGCTGGCCTCTGTCATCATTTGCACGATTGCGCTTGCTTGGTAGCATGATTTGAACACGCTTCTTATCCTCGTTATAGCTTGTGCTACATATGTGGATGGTAGAGTCCCCTATACAAACAGCGACCGGCTCAGGGATGTTTTTCTTGTGATGTTTCTGACAGGGTACGAAATTATCACTCCCTGCCTCCTTCCCTGCCTTCCTCCTCTTCCCACCCATGCATATATCACAATATCCAACACTGGTGGCCCGGTAGCGTTTTCAGAGACGTGGAGATTAGGGGCTACTACCACTACCGCTACTACCATTTCATTTTTCTTGCTATTTCTACTGCTGCTATTCCATTCCATCCATTCCACTCCATTCCATTGCAGCGGGTCGATGAGCTTGTGTACAGCCTGGTGGCAGTGCATAGAAGCGCCGCTTCAGTGAGCGGCGCATGATCCACGGTCAGGTGGGAGCTCTGTCCGCCACAATGGCAAAACAAGCTCGTCATGAGCAGGAGCGAACAATCACTGGGAACAGGAGCGAATGTTGCCACACCCCCGAAGATGGAATTCTCACGGGCAATCATCCAGAGCAATGCAACCTTCTGGCCGCCACTGGTCTGCGCATCCCCCGCACTCACCAGGATTCAGGCTTTGTTGCTATTCACTAGCGCTATGTTGGCGCCTGTTTGTGTTTGTTTGCCAAACGTCTAGCCTTGCATCTTTGCCGCCCTTAGCAGCACGACCGTGTGACTCGCAAGAAGTGCAGTGAATGAACCCAGGAGTGAATGAAATGGATGAATAGATTAATGATAGAGGCTACTG